TCAAAAGACTCTCCATTAATATCCAAATTCCTTTCAGGTGCTGCTTTACATCTTATTGAATAAACACCGTCTTCAAAAGGTTTTACTTTTTGTTTTGACATACTGGTTTTAGTTTAAAATTGTTTTTTTTTATACAAATCTTTAAATGACTTGTTTTTTTTAAAATGAATTATTTCTAAAAACATTGCTGAGTTTTTTTCCATTTAGTATCAATTTTAAATATATTATTATTAATAATTAATTTATTATAACAAAATAATTTAAGTTTAAACGTTTTTCAAATTCAAATACAGTCATTTTCATGTAAATGATGTTAACTCAAAAAAAATTAATACAGAACAAAAACAACTTTGATTTGCACTAACATAATAACTTTCAATTAGAACGTGTTGTTTCAAAAACAACACTAAAATATCAAAGTCTATCAATAAGAAAAAAATACAATTTAATAAATTTTTGGAAATATGTAGATACAGTGAAAGACAACATGAATAAAATCATAAACAATTGACTGGTGCAAAAAAATGAGTTAAATAAACATTAAAGTTCAGTCAATAACCAATTTCAAACAAATATCTAAAGAACATGAAAATAATGAAGAAATTATATTAAAAAAAGACTGGACTGATTTGAAAGCTGTACAGTCTAATTTGCAAATCAACAAAAACAAGACAGAAAACAGATAAGAAGAAAACTTAGCTCAGTGCAATTGAAACACAAATTCAAAATGGTGTTAACCAACATTGCCAAAGTTAAGAAATGTGACACATGTTTTTCTGTTAAATGGAAGACCAGATTATATACTCAGTGCAGAATTTCTAACATCTTGTGTATAATCTAGTGCAAGACCTTTCGTTACTTACAAAAACAGATGAAACATTGAATAAAAAATCAACGTAATCGAATCACGACTTGATAAGGCAAGACAAAACTTATTTAGCGTTAATGCTGCTTGAAAAGATGCTAAAAACAAATAACATAAAATGTTTCATTTTTGTTATTAATATACTTCTTCTGTTGTAGGGACTGGAGTAATTCGTTTTGACGTATAAACTTTTAATAGTTCTACATAATCAATCAATTGGAGCTGTACTTGTATGAATTTTAGGAGGAGTAACAAATAGTTTAATGTTCTTAGAATTAATATAATCAGCAAAATCGCTTGATGATATACCTCTTTCCCCATCAAATATTAAATTAGTCATTTTCATTCCTTGTTTAAATAATTCATTAAAACCATTTATAATTGATGATGCTGATTTATCTTCCACTTTAGTGACATAACCATATCTAGTATTTATATTTATACCTATTAATTATGGTTGAATTGAATTTTTCTATGAATTCTATGATCAAAATTATACTTTATAGAAGGAGTGTCATATTTTTGTTGTGAAACACGTTTATCTTTATCTGAAAAATATAATATATCGGACATATAAGTGTTTGGTAAAGCAACAAATTTATAAGCAAAATTTTTATCATAAAATGAATATTTAGAGGGAGATGGTTAATAATTGTTAGAATAAATTATATCTTTGTTATTGAAATAAGTATAAATAATTTTAGCTAATAATGGAACATGTTGATTCATGTCTACAATAAACAATTGTTTAATTGTTCTATCTTTCTGAATATAATTAGGAGGAGGATAAGAAGAGATGGTAGTAGTTGGACCATGAGGAATAATAGATGGCTTTGGTCTTAATTCAGCATTTATTTCCAATTCCGGAGATTGAATTATTGGTTTATCTTTTGGTTTAGGTGTATTTGTATATTTGTTAAATTCATGAGAACCGGCATACTCCGTAGCTTTTGCATTTTTTAAAAACCCAGTCTTTTTTCAAGCTTTTTTGCCCAAAAGTGCATTTCTCTTTACCAACTTATTTTTCTTTATGTAAATAATCTAAAATTGGAGATGTTTTTGTATAATAAAGGGATTCATGAGGATTGTTAATTTTTCTGAGGATGGTAAATATCTTAAACATAATTTCTTTTAATTTGGATTTTTTTGCCTAAGATCAAAAAGGTATATTTTGAAACACATGATTTTATTCAAAAATGTTATTTATGGATTTTTTGAAAGATGATTCTTTCAGTTGATTTTTACAAAAAAATAATTTATTTTTATATTTTGATTTACCACTTGACCAACCTTGGTTAATATGAAAACAATAAAAATTAATTTAAATTATAGAAAAAGTCGATTTTTTAATCAAAATCACAAAACAAATTAACCCTTCGAGGACTGAAAAATTTTTATTTTTTTCTTTTTTTTTTCAGAAAAAAATTCAAAAAATAAT